TTTTTTTTTTTTTTTTTTTTTTGGACCACAGTCCCCCCATTTTCCCATTTTCCCCTAGGGCCGAGGGTCCAAGAACAGAGATCTTCTTCTCTTATCTTTCCTTTTAAGACAGGGGCACCACCACAAACCCCCTAACTTTTTCTCTGTTCACTCCACTTCTGTCTTTTCCCAGCTGAAGCAGGTCTCTTGACTCACTCGCATCTTCCCAAAATACAGTCTCTCTTGGAGGAGAAGATTAGTTCAGTTTGTGGCTATATGGAAAAGTCCAGCCAAAAGCCACTCCTTGTCCCCCTCCCATCTAGAATTCCTCCTTCTAACATCCCAGGGTCCAAGGTGTCCCTCTTCCTCTTTTTCAAACTGAGGAGGGGAAGGAAAAATTCACAAAGCTTTAATTTCTCAAAGAAGGGTTAAAAGTCCGAACTCCCAGGGATGGCTCAATGCCCAGACTCCGGTGGCTCCCACGCACTGGGCACCTTGCAGCTCCCCCTGCTCCTCCTTCCTCACGGTGGAAATGCTGACAAAACTGCCGCTGTCTTTTTCTCTCTCTCTCGGGAGAGACACTCTTGGGGGGGAACGGAGACATCCCAGATTTCTTCCACCCTTCCATCTGCAGGGGCCAGCCCGGTTCCAGTCCTTCCACCACCCTTGGGGCCTACCTTTCAGGCCATGGGGGCTTCCCCTCCCCACACAGCCACGGCTGGACAGGGGAGAGGCTGCACTGCGTGCTGACCGGAACCAATAAGAGCGAGTTCCCCTGGGAATTCTGCTTTCAACCCCTCTGTGTTCTCAGAGGCGTGTCCACCTTCAATTGGTCAATATCCAAATTGACCTCTTCCTTCCAGAAAAAATTCTCTTTCCGTGTCAAACCATGACAATCACCTATCAGTCCTGTGGTACACAGGGAGTCTGTGTGAGTCAGTAACCCAAAATCAGTAAATTTGGATCAATTTTACTCTGCAACCTTTTTCAATTGTCCATAATTGTTCTTTTCATAGTGATAAAGTAGATATACTTGATCACTAGCAACTAAACTAATAAGCTAGCCTGCAAGGCAAGATGAAGTAAAGAAGATTTTAGTACTACTTAATTGATTTTTGCTTTAGATGATCATGTGAAGTAAACAGTGTCATTAAATAAAGAATTGTTTTAAATGTGATCAGTGGGCAATCTGTTTGCTACTATCCTTTCTTCAGACAGAAAAGGCTTCAGGGGAGAGCTTGCTGTGATACTAATAGTACTGAAGAGACAACCTAAAAAAAGCCCCAACCAGCTCTTTAGACAATGTTTAAATAGGAATTGCCTTGGATATACAATGTCCATTCTCTACCATATTTAATTCTGTTTTCCACCTAAGTCCCATTCATTTTCAGAATGAAGAATTTCGTGTGTCAACATTTGTACTCTGTTTTTTCTTACTATGCCTCTTAACCAATGATTTAGAATTTAACAGCTGCCTAGTTTGAATCCTACAGCTGAAATTTTAAGCTTTACTTCTACTGTGGCAACTGATCCCTCTTGCCTTTACCTCTCTATTTCTAGCTGTATGATTTTGTTAAAGGACAAGCTGTTACTTTGTTTAACAGCAAAACATAATGCCTGTCTTTGATAAACATAAGGCAAAAAAAAGACTGCTTGCAAAAGCTACGAGTTGCAAATATCTGAGCTCTTCTTCCTAAAGTTTTCAGAAACAGAACCATAAATATACAAGGTTGTTTATCATACAGGATTATCTGTTCCTCCAAACATAATTAAATACAATAAGTCTGTGTAGATTGATGTCAGCATAATAAAAAACAACATTTCATACTCATAGTCACTTGCATGGAAAAAGTAAAGCCTTCTTTAAATCTGGAAGATAATAATTATATAAGGAATGTGAGATTCGTTTTAATTCTAATTTGGAGTCTAAGTTTTCTGCTCAGGGTAGTATAAAATGACTGACTGAAGGGTTTTCAAAGAGCCAATTTACATACTAAGATACACAAATTGGGCCAGTTAACATGTGCAAAGAATATGATTTTGATTAAATTTTATTTACTGTCTGGAACTGTACTTACTGTCCTCTCCCTAAAATAGGAATAAAATAGAAATACCACATCTAGCACTACTAACTACAAATGTGCTGCACAGGATCAATGAGGTGAGGTACCTTATGTAATTCAATTTCTAGGCTTTTTTGAAGGTTTTCTTGATGGCAGAATGATGAGAAAATTATTTATTTGTATACATCTGTGTATTACCAGTCTGAACACTGTTACACAAAGAAATAAAATCTGTTGCCTAATGCTTGGTTGATTAAAACTACTAGTAGAATGAAACAAAATAAAGTGTACCAAACAATACAGAAATATTACTTACAAAGAAACCTGACAAGAACAAGACCCTGCACTACATGTTTAGCATGAGAACCAGGGATGCATCAGCTGTCTGCACGGGATGATGGATGAAAGATACTCCTTGCAGCTCACAACCTGGTATCATCCATGTTCTGTTTCTCCTTTTGGAGTGCAATAAAACCCAAGCTGTTTCTGTAAGTCTTGCAGGATTTGAATTGATGTACTGAAACTGAAGGTCCATCTGTTCTAGTGCCTTGTCTCCTACTGGTCTTGGCTTTTCATGCTTAAATTCTGTGACCAAAATAGAGAAATTTGATAGGTTTCCCTTTCTGGGGAGAAAGTGACTTTTCTGCCTGAGTTTAAGATTTGGGTGGCAGTGGCCATGGATTGTGTGGAGGAAGATGCAAGCAACGGTGTAAGGGTTGGGCAAGTCTGGCCGTACTTCTCTTCATTTGGGATGAATACTCTTCTGTGTGTGCAATAGAGTTAAAACTCGAATTACACCTGCAAGAGCACCACCACCTCCCGTGCTTAAAATGAACTGGAAGCATGAATGTTGTGAGAACAGTGACATTGAACTGCAGTCATACAAGGTTGAAGATTGGGAAGTAGATGAAAAAGAATTAGAAGCTGGGGGAGATTTTGTAAGGCTTTGGTGAAGTGACTCGGGGCTGTGCCGCAACAACAGCTTCCTTACACTTCTAAGATGAGGCTCTCCAGCCCTTGGAGGGAGTGGTGACTGTGCGGAGTCCCAGGGGGACCAAATCGCCCTACCCACCTTTTTAACCCTTGCTTCTCTCTCCAGAAGGCCAGCAAACAGGTGCTCCCAGTTTATCACGCCTCCCACCGCACCGCCGCGCAGGACGTGACAGGGCGGGCGCAGGGGGCCGGGCCGGGGGCGCATCCTCAACAGGGAGCAAGAGCCGCTGCTCCTCCCCGCCGCGGCTCATCCTCCCGCCCCCCGCCCTCGCCTCTCGCCGCCTGCGGGGCTGCCGCCGGGGTGGTGCCAGCAGAGCGGGCGGGCTCCGAGCCTTGGGATGTGCTGAGCAGGGGCCGCTCCGCGCCTCGCTCGCCCGCAGCCGCGCCGCCCCCGCCTGTCGGAACGGGTCGCTCGCCGGTGGCGGAGGAGCCCGGCGGTGAGTGCGGGCGGGGCGGGGCGCGTCTGCACGGAGCCATAGGTGTGTATCTAATACCAGAGACAGCTGGATAGATCTGTCCCGTTGCACGTTCCCGTGTGGGCACGGGGGAGGGAGGAGGAGCCGGGCGCCGTGTCCGCCGTGTGCCGACGGCGTGTCCGCGGGAGCCCGAGGGTGCCCATATGGTCGCGCCGCTCTCCTTTCCTCGGTAGGTGCCTCGCCGCGTGCATGTATTTATATGTTTGTGTATGTATAAGCTACATATATGCGCACATACGCCCTGCTTCCTCCCTCCTCCCTCTGCAGGTGCCCATGCTCTTTGATGCACACCCGCGGTCCCCCGGTGCCCCCGCACCTGGTCGCGGCACTGCCCCGGGGCCGGGCCTTGGCACCTTGCCGGTGGAGGAGCCGAGGGTCCCGCGGGCCGGTGCTGCCTCCCCCGGCGCTCTGTGCAAGGCACCCACCCCCCTTCCCCATCCCCAGGGCGGCAGGTACCGTGGGCAGCTTGGCTGGAGCACAAACGCTGCCTTCCTTCGCACGGTCGTCACGAGTTAGTGGAAAGCTGCGACATCCTCAGATGCCTTCCTAGACATGCATTCCTCCTACTCAGCCTCTGGCAAAGAAGAGAAGATAACAGGCAGCACTCATGTCTGTGTGGGTGGAGGAAGAGAAAAGATGACTGATAATGGATTTGTTGGAGGGACGGTGATTCTGGGTTTTAATTACTATTTAAGTGGTTTCGGTGTAGTACTGGATTGTATTGCTGTGATAGGACTCTCTTGGTAGCTTTAGTGCAGTGCTTTTAACATCCTGCGTTCTTGCTTTTGCTTTTTAGTAAAATATTTTCTCAGTTGTGATGCATGCAAGGAACCCATTCAGGAAAACTCAGTTTCCAAAAGGTTGATGTGGACTGTGTGTAAAATGCTGGACTAATGGAAATGCAGCATTTTTAATTTTCTCCAGTCCTGAGTTGTAATGCCATTTTCTTACAAGTGAACATTTGTCATTTATGAGAGGTTTTGATTTATGTGTTTTGGTTTTCAGTTTGGTCTGTTTGTTTTTAAGTTGCTGATGTTTATTTAAGTAGGCTTTTTTCTCTGGATGAGAGGTGGAGTGTCATCAAATCACAAGACTAAATCTTGCATTCAGCACATGAACAGAACTGTCCTTTGGGAGAAATGATGACTTCATAGGCAAGGAAGGTACTTATCTCAATGGAACCATCTTCCAGTCAGAACTCCATTATTGGTAACCTCTCCATAGGATTCTGTGGAAATGGGATATCTGTTTCATATAGCTATACAATTTGGGTGGTATAAATAATGTAATTTAAAAGTAATTGTGATCCCATTTGGTTAGAATATTTTTCCCCTTTCTGGGATAAAAAACCTTACTGAAAGTGTGTACTTTTTTTCTTTTTTTTTTTCTCTAGAGCTGTTTGAAGAAAGTCTTCAGCCATGGATGTGTTCATGAAAGGGCTTTCCAAGGCAAAGGAGGGAGTCGTAGCAGCAGCAGAAAAAACCAAGCAGGGTGTGGCAGAGGCAGCAGGAAAGACGAAAGAGGGAGTCCTGTATGTGGGTAGGTGGGCAGCAGAGAGCACGCTGCTGATTGGTGCACCCCAACATTCACAACTGGATCCTCATCAGACCCCTTCTTCTGCAAAAAAATATTTAATTGCTCATAGGAGACCATTGCAAAAGAAACAAGAGGAAATTTGTGCCTTCTTGAGCTCTGGTTCTTTGAAGCCAAGTGCCTTACAGTACAGGTCATTGAGTGGTATTACATGCAAGTCTGCCAGATCAAGGCTGAAGGGGTGGTTGGTACAGCAAAAATAAATATGAAAAAAATGTAAAAGCTGGAGGTGAAGGTAGCTCTGTAATGTTCTACAGAGCATGTGGGACTTGAACAGGATTTCAGGAGGAGACACTTGAGAGGTTAGCTCAGGACTTGTGTGGTAGACATGCCAACTGCTTGGTATGTTGACAGTAACATTTTGTATGGCAAAGTGCTATCTTTTGAAATTAATTTCATGTTGTGTAATTGCTATTGCAAATTCATGGCAAAAATTTTCCATGACTTCTCAAGGAAGTGCCTCTACAGTTAATGAGGTAGCGCAAGTAGACCCCAAAGTAGCAAAGCAGTTGTTAGTGTCTTATTCTAGGCCAAACTAGTATTCCATAGAGCCTGGGATAAAATTATTTTCAAACCCTTGAGTGGTACTTTCATTCAGGGTAGTCATCTTCATTTAGCAAGCACTGAGCTTTAGAAGAGTGTCTTGCAAATGCTGTCATGAAAAATGAACAGAAAAACAATCTGTCAAGACTATATATGAGTAAGTGGTTATTTATAAAAAAAAATTATGGCTCTGTTTCTCTTATTCATCAAATAAAGCTAGTCTATAAAAGAATGGAGGGGGAAAAGATAGCCTTTTCTGTAGGTCATTTCTGTTGATTTTGTAGCAAGTCAGTTCTGTTATGGGAGATGTGCTCACATAACAGAGAGAAGTTAAAACAGAGCTGAAAACCAGAGTCATTTCTTTTCAATGGGAGTACTGAGGTCTCTGGTATTCCAGTGCCTTTTTTGGATTCCCTCTTGCAGGCTAGTGCCAGTCTGTAAGAAATTATTTCTGCTCCAGATAGTGTGGACTACTCATTTGGAATATACTTCCCTCCTTTTAAAGCCATAGCAAAGCTCAGTGCTCTTGCCAACAGGGATGGCAATAATTTTGAACACTAATTGCAGGATGAATCTCTTTTAAAATAAGTATCTGCTCATTTTCAAGACAGCAAAATAGATGTTCTTCCACTGTATATTGTGCTTGATGTTGGAATTATTTTCCAGAGGTAGAACTTCTATTTTGTTTTCTTGTAGTCCTGGCTATGCTTCTGGGGTCATTGATTTTTTTTTTTTTTTTCATATTAGAAACCTGCATTGTGTGCTAAATTAATCTTTGTTTCTGACCTGTTCTCCAGACCATAATAACATTTGAATCTAGTTCTGTTCCCGAAGGCAACAGACTTGCTGTTGTCTTCAGAGACACTTTTGCTGAGGTTGAACGTTGGAGAGCAGGCTTGCTATTTTTTGCAAGAATTTCAAGCAATTGCTGGTGACCACAGAGCCCTGAGCTATGATAGGGACTTGTGCATGTAACTGTAGTAATGGTTGGAGGATCCTTCTCCCAACAGGTGTCTCCTTTCCAGGAGGCAAGAGCTATGTGCACAGTTTGTTGTACAGGCAAAAGAGCCTTTGGTTGGAAGCTGCCTCTAGAAGCTCTGGCAGCTTGTGTCCAGTTGTGTGCTCACCCATACAGGCATGACATTTCAACAAGTTCAAATAGGGAAAGGAGGATGTTTCTCTGTCTACTTCCCAAGCACTCAGCAGAGTTGTCTCTTCCCCTGTGCAGCATTAGCAAAGGCCAGTGTGATAATCTTTTGTTCCACAGGTTGATAATGATTGCAGTGCAAAAGGTGGTGAAGGCCCTTTATGAGCAGAGGAGAGAAGCAGCACAATTCATTAGAGTTCATTAATACTTCTCACTCCCTTGTTCTATAGTTGGGTTTTCAGATTTGAGATTCACAGCCAGATTATGCTGTGAAAGCTGCCTGACATCTTGCAAAAAAGAACCTAACCACACTGGGCTGAGTGGGACCTGTTAATCATTTTCAGTTTCATAACATTCAGCCTCCAATTGCTGGTGGAGAATTAAGAAGATGCAGAGTCTTTGGTCCAGATCGCCTAGGTGATATGGCTTCCCATTGAAATCAGTGCAATTGAAGTAAATGTGGAAAACATCTGGACCTTTATATCCAAGCTGCTCTTAACTATTATGTGTAAGACTATAGCCTAATGCTACCCGGTAAGAGTTCTCTTTAAAACAGCTGCTGTTTGGGATGAAATGTGGTCATTCTAATTCTTTTATTCATGTTTTGTTTTTAGCATTTTTTTGGCATAAGGATAATTTCTCTTGGCAAGGGGAGAAACTTAGAGCTATGTAGGAGAGTACTGTATTGGAGGATTAATTGAAGTTTTTTTTCCCTGTCCATGCTGGAATCTCTACTTTGTTCCCTCAGTCCACTTTACTTTTAAATACCCAAGATCCTCTCAATACAGTCTACAAAGTGTTTTTATGCTTTCAAGTATGGGGGTTTTTTCTCCTTAACTTTCTCTGCCAATTGGCTTCAGCACTGGCTGACTGAAATTAGTGGCTCTGTCTTAACTCATTCAAACACAGCATCAGGGCCTTTCTTGATATCAAAGAATGGCCTGTTCATTGTTTAGGAAGAAGGACTGAGGCTCAGCAGTCCTGTCTGTGCTGTAAATTTAAAACTGCATCTTTCTGTATCCTTCAAGAGCTTTTAGTGTGAAGCAGAGAGGAAGTGAGTGACAGTACTTAATCTCCACTTGCTTTGAAACCAGGAACTGAGTAAGAAGGATGTTCTCACACACTCTTGGTGATGCAGTGTTCATGTTGTCTGCTGAGCTTCATGTGTGCTTCCAGGGAGCTCAGGTTTTTGCTCAGTTGACTCTTGAGTGCATGCTCACTGCTCAGGAATGGAAGTTTCCAGTCTGTTTTTGGTGTGTCATAAATTCACAGAACAAAGGAATAGTTTATTAGCAGCAGGGTGGCTGACAGTTGTTTACTATTCCATGTGCTGGCATGTGGCCTTCGAGTAGAGCAGAGCAGTCATGACCTATTTGGCAAAGCCATCCAAATTCCTCCATTCCTTTTTCATAATATTTCTTATTTTTATTTGGTGGTAGAAAAGCCAGCAGAGTAGTTGAGGGACTCAGGGTTGGTCTGGTAGAATAATGGGCTTCAGGACTTCAAAGCAAGTGCCTTCCTTAAACATTGATTGCCCCTTCCCCTAGTTTGGGCTTATGTCTCCCAGTCTGTAACTAGCTCTGACTAAGAAATGTCAGGAGTCTCTTGGTCTCTCAAATAGTCCAGAAATGAATGTGTTTGCAAACTCCTGGTACACTTCTGCATTCTGGCACAGTGACAACCATGATAATAAATAATGAAGAGACTCTCTGGTATTTTTTTGTAATTAAAAAAAAAAAATGGAAAATACTGTTTAGTGTTCTCCCTCCCCTCACACAGATATCTACTACAGCTAGGAAAAGTAGCATTACCACATACTACTATTGCTTCTTGGTTTAGGTTAGAGTCATGTGCCTTGGCCTTTATATTATCCCTGCTCGGATTCCTCTGTTCCCCTTATGCAGGGTACAGTGAGCAGGATTATTGGTATTTTGGGAATGCCAGGATGAAAGACAGCTAATTTATCCTGGAACCAGTGTGGACAACCAGCTTCCCTTCATGGCTAGCCAGAAGTCATCCTACTGAATTCAACTGTTGTTATTTATAGGCCTGTTCTGGCAGATCCAAAATGTGCTCTGAGATGCTGTTGTAGCTGCCATGGCAGGAACAGCTGCTTGCATGCAAGTGTGCAGCAGTGGGGCAAGTACTCTTGAGCTCTAACATATGCTGTAGGGTCTGGAACACCAACCAGCTGGTTGTTTGCCAATTAATGGATCTGGCTATACATACCCCTGTTCCATATGGGTCTGTGAGCTGAGCTTTTTTTAAAGGCTAATCTGTCTTCCACAAAAGAGACCAGCACTTCTGTGTGAATTATGGTTGTAGCAGTGTGCTCTGGGTGAGTAAAGCAAGAATCTACTTGGATTAGGTCCCTCTGGAGATGTGTACATTGCTTGGGTCCTCAGGGAGTTCTGCCATACCATCCATCCTTTTTTGGCCTTAGGGAACTGGGCACTTGCTAATTCACAGGTTGTCATGTCTTTAATGGCTTGGCTTGCAAACAGTCTGTTCAACAACATGAATGAGATATTGGCCAGGTCTAACAATGCCTTTAAAAGCATTTGCTTAATATTAAGTATTCCAGTAGACACACTGTAAGCCTGCAGTGGTATCTAGTTACTAGAAGTTAGTAGAACCATCATCTGCTTGAATTCCAGGATGTGCTTTTCTTCTTCATGTCTCATGGTGCTATGAAATTGAGAACCAAAACAAGTCCTTAGGTGTGAACACTTTGCATATAATGGAACTTTCGGTTGTTCACTGGTAAATATTTTTCAGTGAGAGAAAGCAAACTTTTTTTAAAGAGAAAATTGGAATAAAAGGGGAAAAAGACTTTTCAGCTGTTTAACCTCATCATTAGCTAAAGGAACATTTCATTGTACATGATGCAGTATTTCTTCTCTATTTGTCATGGATTATTATTCTACTCTTACTCATCAGTAAGAGAGCCTTTTCAATAATGTAATCAATCTAATAGTGCCAGAACTACATGGCTAAAGTTCCATAAATCTGCACTAGTAGCAAGTGGGACATATTGATGAATGAATTTATATTGTACTTTTGTGTTTAATTGTATTTATTGCAAAGAATTTTGGAAAAAAAATTGCTTTTTTTTTCTAATTTTCTGTTCATGCATTCTCTTATGTTAGAAGTGTAAAGTTAGAAATATAAATTATGCTATCTCAAATACTGAATGACAGCAAAAAAATTGCATTACAAATAAGGTCATTTTAGTGTTGGTAAGAAAAATAAAATGTCATCCTATCTCTGGCAGACTAGGTAAGATGATTAACTAGGAGCAATAAACTCTGTTAATTGCACATTGTTAAGCATCATAGTCCACAGATGGATACTAATCCCTGAAATGCAGCCAAATTATGGAACCTGACAAGGGCAAGTAGAGGGCTGGTAAGGAAAAAGACACCCAGTTATGTTTTAAACAGCAGTATGTGCTTATTAGTTTCTCTTCCCCTTAAAGACACAGGAGATGTTTTCCTTTGCTGCAGCATGGTGAAAAGTCACAGTCTTTTTCCATGGGTGTTGCAGAAATCAGTTTGGTCTTCAGCATGGCAGAATTACATTGTGTACACAGGTCTTGTGTTATGACTTGGTCTCGCACGACTTCCAGAGTGCTTCCTGCAAATCATATGTGAGTTGTGACAGTGAGGACAGTGGATGCAGCAGACCTGGGGGACATTTTCATGTTGAAATCCTATCTACTGCTTAAAGCTGTTCTTTTGGATTAGTTGATATCTAAATCTGGCTAGCATTTCCTTCTCTTTGTGAATTTCACCTCTTGGCCTTTCTGTAGTTCGGTAGAGATTGTCAAGCCCTGCAAACTGAGACCTGGCAAAGACGAAATTTTAAGGGTCTTCTCGAAACTGTGGCTCAGACCTTCTACAAATGCATGCATGATCCTCTTTGGGATGTTAACATGGTTTCTGTGCAGAGTCATCTGTGTGAGTTTGCCAAGTGGGAGGCCTAACACAGCTATTCAGAAAATGGCAAGGAAGTCAGTACGTACTGCACAAGTGTTTTCAATATTGCTCACCTTTCCACAGCCAGTACCCATCCATACAGTTGTTCTTTACTGATGGTTTTGCCTCTTCCCTTAGGCTCAATTTCTTTTTAATTTTTTAATAACCTTGGGAAATATTGTGTGCAGAAGTATGCAATCCACATGTTAATCCCTCTTTAGCATCTATCTAGTCTTTACCAGTCCTTAAGAATATGCATTTTCGACCTAATATTTTTCTTTGTTTAGGTTCCAGGACCAAGGAAGGAGTTGTTCATGGTGTTACAACAGGTAAGATGAATTATCTCTTGAGTTCAGCTTCTTTGTTTGCTTCATGAGATTAACCAGACATTTAGCTGTTAAAAAATGAGGTTTTTCGAGAACTATAATTTATGAAAGACAGAAAAGCATAGGAAAATTGAGAGATCTGGTTGGATGGAAAGACTGAATAGAAATGGCTTACAGGAAAGAAACAAATTTCAGAAGTTTTATTTGAATTTGTCACAGTTATGAGTGTTTTGAATTTTTTTAAAACTGACTAATCTCTCAGTAGCAAGAGTACTTTCAAATTTGGAATTTAATGCTAGGCATGTATCTTCACAATAGCATTTGTACACCAAAAAGGAGTAAATTTGCATTTTAAATTGATTTGCAGGGATCATTTCAGGTATTAACTAAAACCAGTAACCAATAATTTGTTTTAGGGGGCAAAATGAATGGAAGTCTTTGATGTCTACAGCATGCAGAAAAGCCTTTGTTGACCATAGGGCATTGAATAAAATGTACAATTTTCTGCTGTAGAATGTGGGAGATCCGGAGATGGGAGGAGAATGCATGGTCAATAGATTTTTCCCCGAACAAATTCAAAAACAAGTAAGATAGTAGAAAAGGATTTTTTTCCTCGGTGTATAGCCAGTCTCTCATTCAGCTGACATGTCAATGTATCATTGTGCTCACATTAACCAAGGCAAAAGAGAAACACTGGTAGGTAAACAAATGTCAGTACTTAATGCATAAATCACATAAATGGTTGAAAAGTCAGTCAAGAGTATTTATAGTAATAAAAGAGAATATCCAGATTAGTCCTTCAGAGTTTAGGCTGAGCATGTGTGCTGCTGTTATGAGATTTGAAATCTCAGCTCATTAGACCTCAATTAAGAGAAATATTCAGAGGGATCATTGCTATGACCAGTAGAGGATTGAAGCAGAATGAGATTTGGGACACCTATATCCAATATCATGGATGTGGGAGCAGCAACTGACAGCACTAGGAAGCAAGGTAATAGAAGTGATGTTCACCAAGCTGGGATGCGGTGGAATCTACGTCAAGGGCATTTACACATGTATGAAACATGCTGAAGCACTGGGATTCTAGTGGGCTACCTCAGTGGGGGACTTCTCTTCCTCATCCTGAAAGAAACTACTGATCTCAAATGCTGTGCCTCTTTATGTGATCACAATATATTTAATTAGGCAGGAAATTTTCAGTGGGTGAATAGAATTTTTAATAGATTTTAAAATACCTTAAATTTTCTTCTGGAAGGTACAAAACATACGGTAAAGCCAAACATAAGGGGGACACACCTGTTATGTGCTGTGCCTGTGAATAGAAAATTTGGCAAAGTTACTGCTGATTTTAAGCAAAACAATAGCTGCTCCTCACACACTCTACGAAACAGGTGACATGAAATGAAACACCCAAAACTTGGGAATAACGGGTTCTGTGCTGCAGTTTGTGATTTTCTGGTCTTTCAAGCTGTTTGAGATGAGTTTGGCTGTTGCATGAAAATGGAAAATGAGCAGGGAGTGAACAGGTTGAACTGTGGCAGTGGGAAGAGATGACTTCAGGCAAAATCTAGAGGTCACAGCTTCCAAAATGAAACATGGACTTGCTAGTGTAAGAACAGAGCAAGTTCTTGGACACATTTTAAGAACAAAAAAAATAATAGCAAGCCTATAAATAGTTCTTTTGGCAAGAAGAGAAGGTAGATAAAAACAGATTTGGGTTCACTGTAGTGATTCTGTGAGGTGTAACATGAAGACAGAGATGCTATGAGGTTGATGTAGAAATCAAATCCATTTAAATCAATGCTGTTAAAGTTGATGTGACAAAAAAGCCTTTTGAGTTGCTTGTAAAGACCTACTTTTCTCTTTTCATATGACTGAGAGTTCACAAGTTGTGCTGGTCTTATGATATTAATTCTCCAGTGCATCATGTAAAACCTGAGGTGAAATAAACACTTTGTTATGTAAATAAAAATGGTTTGAGAGGTTGGAGACAGTCAGGTACAAATTAGAGTCACAGATCAAAATGAATGCTCAGTCAGTCTTTTCTTTATGTCTGACTTCCAAAATCTTGATAATTTTTCTATCTTTGAATAAGCTGTGATTTAACCACCTATGCTGGTGAAATGCCACACCTTAAAGGGCTGAAAAACATAATTGCATTATTCAGTCAGTTAATTTCCAAACCCAGAATTACTAGACTGAGGCGTTTTGTGCTTTAAATGTGACCTGATTGTACCAGGTTTAGTGACATGAAGATACTGTGAAATGAGGATTCCAGGCTGTGATTCACTGGAATATGATAAGTCTGTTATTTTCAGGTCACCCTTTCTCTGAATTTCTGATAAAAGCAGCTTGCTTATTGGGTTTATGGGGTGTATGCTCATGTTTAGAATTGTCTTCCTAATTGCATTGTATCTTGGCCTTTGACTGTAAATGCACAATTCACCCCTCTTTTTTATCTCCCAGAAATGAACAGTATCAAAGATGAATATATTCAGATATTCTAAATAAAGCCCTATTTGTAAATAAGTCAGGTAAAAAAAGCTATTAGTCCATCAATCATGTGAGTGAAGACACAATACTGATAGTAGTAAACCATAGTCAACTGTTTTGCTTAGTTCTTTACTTATTTGGGTTCAGTCTTGTTTTTTTTAAGGTTCTTAGTAACTGGTATTCCTGCTCATTAATGCTATCAGGTATCTTACAGAAAATTACATAAGTTAAAGAACCGCCATATTTATGGCATCTTTGTAAATGAATTCTTCAAGCACTTAGGACAAACATGCTATTTGAAATACTTACTCAAAAGTATATTTGGTACAAGAAGAGTAAGTTCTTTAATTCAGGGAAATTCTATGGTTTGAATCTACTTTTATTGTTCAAGGTTGAAAGTAACTAGTTATGACTTAGAATTGCTCCAGAGGTTTTACACTGATACTGTGTGCTACCCCGTTGTCTGTAATAAGTAGTGCAAAGGCAACTTCAGTGCTAGTACTTTTTGCACAGTACTATAGTCAGTATTAGGAATTAAACTTATCCTTGGTGTGGTCATTGTACACTGTCCCACAGTCATTTAATGGCATGAACAGTCTCTGCAGAGATAAAAGAAGTAATCAGGCCATTGCACAGAAAAGCTCTGCAGAAGCTGATCTACTCTGGTTCGCAACGCTGTGATGCAAAGTAAATGTCAATTTTACTAAGACTTAATGGCTGAAGATCATTAAGCTTTAAGATAAATTTAATAAGTTGGAATCAACCCCCTGTATTGTGGACTGATTTGTGCACACTTAATGCTTTCCCCATTACTACTTAGTGTAAGCAATAAAATACATGAGACTTGGAACTTTGGTTTTTCTTATGTTGTGGTCACCAGGCTGGAGCTCATTATCAGAGTCACTCTGGTAATGATGTTGATGTTCAGTTATTTCTTAGAGACAAGAAAGAAGATTCTCTCCTTACTATGGTTGCTTTTGCCAATCTGTGCGATCTGTGCTATTTATATAGTTTGCTGAATTCATCTTCATGGCTCTGGTTTCTGAAGCAGTGTGTGAGAGATCTTCCATGGTAACTCCTGTGTCAGTTTTCTTATGCTGTGTCTGTGTGCTGCTTTTGGTGGGGATGGAGGTAATTTTCTTCATAGTACCTGGTATGGGGCTGTTTGGGATTTGTGCTGGAACTAGTGTTGGTAACTCAGGGATGTTGCAGTTATTGCGGGGCAGGGCTTACATTTCCTGCTCCTTACCTCACCCCACCAGTGAGAAGGCTGAGGGTTCACAAGGAACTGGGGGAAGAAACGGCCAGGACAGCTGACCCCAGTTGACCAGAAGGATATTCCACACCATATGGCATCATACTTAGGGGTAAAACTATGGGGAAGGCTGGTGAGGGTCATCTTCTTGGGGTCTGGCTGTGCATCAATTGGTTGGCAATGAGCAATTGTTTGGATTTGCATCACCTGTGGGATTTATAGCTTTCTATAGCTCTGTTTTCCTTTTTAAAATATTTTTTAATAATTTTTTAATATTTTTATATTTTTTTTATAATTTTTTATTACTATTAGTATTTTATTTCAATTGAACCATACTTAGCCCATGAATTTTCTTACTTTTATCTTTCCAATTATCTCCTTCCCCATTCTGCCGGGGGAAGAAGGGACAAGCAACTGTGTGGTGCTTAGTTGCCAGCTGGGGTTAAACCATGGCTGTCTGAAATAGAAGCAGTCTTAAGTATACTGGTTTTGTTACTACTTTTGTCAGTACCTTATTGTTGTGCCTGAAACAGTGTTAGTGGCCTGATTCTTTCCTTTTCCATTTGAGTTTGTATGTACTAGACCTTTGCTAGCATAATGTGTTTCTGAGAGGAGGGAATGAACTTGAGATAGTGCCTTCCCAAAATCCTGTAGCAGTGGGTATAGCAGCCCCTGGATAGTTGCTTTTGGTAGGTGGTTGTACTTGCCATGACAACATAGTGTAAGAAATATGGGTTTAATAATGGCATTGAGAATTGGCATTTTTTGTACTGCATCATCCACAGTGCACTCAGTTCCACTCTGTTTCTTGGTGTAGGTGCTTTAAGAGCTTGCATTGAGTTGTGTCTGTGACAATCAACACAGTACAACCATGCTTTATCATTTTATCAGAAAGGATGAGTCTGCTCAAGGCCGACTGAGCCCTTGTCAGCATCAAGCCTACTGAATTTGTCCTTTACATGTGTGGATAACAGTCTGATCAGAGAGAAAGGTAAATAAGCTTTCCCATGAATTGGTCTGGGAACATTCAGGGGGCTGGAGAGAAAGAATAATCAAATATTAAACAATATTTTAACAAGTTGTTTTTCTCACAAAGAGGGTGTCTTCTTCATTACCCAATCATGTGAAATGTGTTAAATTACCAATGAGGTCCACCTGTAGCAAACCAAGTTATAAAAGAGGAGGATTCAATAAACAGGCTGCTTTTAAGTCTTCTGATCTGAGTCTGTGAAATTTCTGACTCAATGGTGACATGTTCTGCCATTCAGCACTTTTTGGAAAGGGGAGTTTTCAAAACAATGTGTGGCACTTCTATACAAAAAAAATTTAACAGAACGAAAGGACCCTGAATTATAGAATCAAACCCAGTGGTTTGGGTTGGAAAAGACCCTAAAGATGATCTAACACCTTACATGGGCAAAAATGCTTTCTGCTAGACCAGGTTGCTCATGACCTCCTGGCCTTGAGCACTTCCAGGGATGGGGCATCCACAGCTTCTCTGGGCAACTTGTTCCAGTGCCTCACTGCCCTCCCAATAAAGAATTTCTTCTGTATCTAAACCCATCTTCTTTTAGTTGGAAGTAATCTACTCCTGCCCTGTCCCAACAGGATCACAGGATCCTCTCCATCTTACTTGTAGGGTTTTATATACTGGAAGACCACAATTAGGGTCTCACCAGCTCTGTTTGCCTTCATAGGAAGGGTGCTCCATCTCTCTGATCATCTTGGTGGTATCCCCTGGACTCACTCCATCAGGCCCAAGTCTGTCCTGTGCTGGGACCCCAGAGCTGATGCAGCCCTGCAGGTGGGGTCTCACCAGAGCAGGGGGGCAGAATCTTCTCCCTTGACTTGCTGGTTATGCTGCTTTGGATACACCCTGGGATCTTTCCCAGAAAATGAATGAGACAGAGGACAAATAAAAAGCAGTACTGAAATGTACCCAAAACATCTCTTGTTTTAATTTTTTAAAATTTAAATACTTATAGGAAAATTGGGGTTTTATTGGATTTTATAAGCTGCTACTTCATTTTTTTAGACTTCTTTTTGCCATTTGGAACAACATGAGTAAGTTTGTTTCATAACATTATCCAATTTCTTTCTGAAAGACCCAAGCACAATCGGATCTCACTAGGCTTTGCAAGAGATAACATGTTATGAGGACACACATCTGAAGATACATGTTTGCAAGAAGTAGTGGATAAAATCCAAAGCTTTTTGTGGTCTGTAGCTGGTAATAATCAAATGGAGCATCTTAACAGATGTCTTTTTGCACTTGCTGGTATTAAGTCAAACCTTCCCTGAGGGCAACATTTACTTTTCAGCAAACCCACTTTTGATTATCTTCCCCCCTGCTCCCCTGCTAAAAAAGCATGGCAATAGAGTAGTGAATGTATACAGTGAAATTTCTCATGAGGTTATTAGTGTCTAATATAGTGTGGGAGATATTTGAAACACACTTTTTCTAATTTCAGAAAATGTGTAGTCTGTTGTTCTACTCTATAATGAAAGGTCTTGGTCATAAGAGATAATACTTAATTCATTACTAACTTCCCTTTAAATGAGCTGGAATGAGCATTAAATTATCTGCTTCCATTTTCAGTCAGCTAAAAATCTGGCTATGTAACTTGAAGGCATGAAGTCATTCCATCCCTTTTCTTAGAGCAGTTTCACTGTAGTTCAAGCTGCTATCAGAAAGAGCCCTTGGGGATGAATGAGCAGAAAAACCCCAGTGCTATTCTGAAAGGTAGAATGGCAACTGCTGATGTATATGTAGGCTAAATGAGTTGTTGTTTCCCTGGGGCTTGGAAGTTAGCTATTAATCCAGTTTGCTTTGACATTCAGTCTTTTTATAAATTAGTATATTATGTATCGGGGCAAAGATCTCAAGGGACTCAGATAAAAGTTTCTGTTGGAAATTCTCTGGTTGAGCATTAATAGGTCTGCTTTTTAATGATATGTATCTTGGAAAATAAGAAAAAGAAATTATTTTTTGAGTCTTAACACAAAAAATTGTCTTCCAGTCCCTGTATTATACAGCAAGGGGTTGGTGGATTCATTGGAATGCATTTCCAAACTAGGATATATTATACAGTGAGATGGACATAATAAGAGTGTGTAAATAATGACTTTTCTTCCCTAAAGTGCAGTTAGATGTGAATGAAAATGTCAGATGCCTTTCACATGAAAGAAATTGAGCCCCAACTAAGGCTTATTTTTACCTCTGTTGCTCCAGCGTTACCAGATGGATAGTTTAATTTCTCAAGATCCACTTGGGGTATAGAAAATGTAATGACCTTATGGATTTTCATGATGTCTGGCTGTCGGTGATAAATTCTCTGAAAAACTTACAGCTCCCACAGGCATCATGTGTTTTCCCATCTTCTGCTTCTCCTCAGTGGCTGAGAAGACCAAAGAGCAGGTATCCAATGTTGGGGGAGCTGTGGTGACAGGAGTGACGGCGGTGGCACAAAAGACCGTGGAAGGAGCAGGGAACATCGCTGCAGCCACTGGCTTGGTGAAGAAGGACCAGTTGGCCAAACAGGTTTGGTTTATTTGCAGTCTTTTCCAGGTGAAGGAGTGAGCAGTGAGGGGCTCATGAACTGAGGGGCAGATGGAGTTGCTTTCTGTCTCTCAGTTGTATGAATACAGGATTAATTGTGTTGTGCCAAACAAACAGCAAAGAAGATGTCTTCTGTTTATAGCTTTGAGTGACTTTAGTCATTCAAACTTTAGTAGGATTAGGCATGAAACTTTGCTAATCTGAAGTGTTTTAGTTAATTGGAGTAATGGTTTAAAGTGTGATCAACTGGTGGTTCTAAACTCAGCAGCCTCTAGTGGAGGCTAGCTGCTGTAGTATAGCTGTATAGTTTTGTGGAAATATAACTGTTTTCCCCACTAATTTGGGATTGAAAAGCAACTGCTAGTGCTGAAAGGTCAAATAGCAAATCTCAGGTTTAACAGCACAAGTTGTATTCTCTGTAGTTGTAGAGAGGAGGGTTTGTGTACCAATCCACTGACTGGTTGGACACATTGCATCTACAACCAAGATCTGTCTGGAGAGTCACTGTCTTCCATTAATACAGTGACATTATTACAAAAGTGCTTCCAAATATCCTCAATTATTTAGTTTAAGTTTGCTCTAGGTCATCTTATAAAACACTGTAGGTATTTTTATTCATGCGCTGTAGTTGTTCTTCCACTGACACTAGGTGAAAAGTGTCCCCAGCTGGCAGGAACAATGCTTTCCAAAACGTGTGTAGTGTGTTTTTGGAGACAAAAATAACCCAGAAGAGACAGATGCCTCTTTTTGTGCTGTTTTCTATATGAACACTTAGGAGTTAGACAAAAATAGGATTAGGAAGAATGCTTAGTATTTACACAAAAATGACTGTCATGGAATTGAGCATGAAATTCTGTTGTGTATCTTATTTGCAGTTAGTGTCCAGACGAACTGTAAAAATTGCATGCTTAAAAACTGGATTTTTTTTATCCTTACTCAAGTGTAGTCCTGTCTGTCTGACAAATCCTATTGATGCTTTACTATGGGGAGCAAAAAGGGCTATTACGTTGTGGTAGGCATTCATTTCACTGTGATGGATTTTCTTGGAAACATCTCACAAGCAATTTTATTCTCTTTCAAATCAACATTCCTGGGGGATTTTTTAGTCCTCTTTTTTTCAGCTTTAAGTAACATGGTGCTTTTGATGTGGTTATGGATCTTTGTAAAGGCTGTGTGAGAAGATTTGCAAAATGGAGAATCCAATGACCTGCCAGGGGATACATGAATATGGCGTGGTCACAGTAGTCTCTGCCCTTCATTTCTGCTCAAGCTCTTGTGTAGTTTTATGCTGAGAATATTCTTTCCTGTTCACAGCTCTTGAAACTCAGTGTAATAAGGATCATCAGTGCTGTAGTACACAATTACCCCCTTTAGTATTGACCATAACTAATGCCTTTTTATCTCTCTCTATAGGGAGAGATCACTGTAATTATGAAGTATAAAGCAAATGTCTGCTGACTTTCATTTAAATCTGTTCTCTGTATTGTAAATCTTAAATATAAATAATGATGGCTGTAACAGAATAAAATCACATCTGTGAACTGAAAGAACATCCATAATGTACATGCATATTATTCCTATTAATAGCAACATTATTCTGAACTAGTGTTTTGTTCTTTAGATATGTAAAATCATTCATTTGCTATTTTTAGACTGAGATTCTCAGTCATCTATTCAGTATGGCCATGTAGCTGATGAGTATTTGTGGCTCCTCCTGGTCTGCCTTACATCTGTCTTTAATTGGTTTTGCAAGGGATGAGTAGCCATTTCAAAAATGCTAATATCAACACTGAGTAATACAAAGTTATTTTAAAACCTGGTGGGTTTGCATTCCTTTGCAGCTCAGAGGCACATGAGATAGAATTTGCTTGGATTTTCCAGGTAAATTGACAGTTTGGTAGAGAAAGTGTGGGCATAAAGAGTAGCAGTGGGACCTTGAAGGAAACAGAGCGAGTATTTCTGACATAACAGAAGATGCCAACCAGGCATTCAAAGTATCAATAACTTTGTGTCATTTATCTCTCTCTGTAAGGCTGTGTGTGTGGAGGCTGTTTGCGTGTGTGAAAGCCTGCAGTCTTGTGTGCTGACTGGCATTTTTCTTGTGCTGTGATGGAAGATTGGTTTTGACTTTCAACTAATTAAAAACATATTTTTTTTAAATCTGTGGATACAGTGATATTTATGCAGAGGAAATACATAGCAAATTCTTGGTAAAGTCTTTCTTAAGAGGTTTCTCCAAGCTGGCCTAGTGCAGCCTTTAAAACTGGTGTGCTTTGGAGCATGAAGCACAGGCTTCAGCAGCCAAGTGAGGCCAGGCTTGGAGGACTGCTGTGACACCCCACTGTCACCCACCCGCCCTGCAGCTGGTGTAAGCAGGCAGTGTGGAGTGACAGCTGAGAGAGTGGCAGACAGGGGTGACTTGAGAGTGCCCATCTGAGGCTGCCTGGGGGATTTCTGCTTTGGCAGCAGCTAAACACAGCCAGGTTACTGGTGGTTAGTAGGCTCAAATTTATTATAAAAGGGCTAATGGTACTGCAAGAAGTATGTTACTGAATGACAAAACATTTATTGTTTGCCTGTGTGTGATTTAATTCTGTGTACAATGTGTCTTCTAAATGAGTTTTTAAAAAGTAAAAATTATTGATAGTTGCATTTAATGCAGAGATGAACATGAATGTTTTATTTGCAAGCCAGCCTGAATGTGTGTGGGGGTGGGGTGTACCAGCAAGTGAGCATCTAGTGTGTAATATTTTGAAAACAAAATATGGATTACAAAATTTGTTTTCAGATAGTTAATTAACAAATTTAAGTTCTTAACCTCATTGAATCCATATTATTTGTTTCCCTGGCATCTCAAGACTAAACAGTTGCCAACTTCCATGATTTCCACGCTGAGTAATTTTATTTTTATTGGTCTGGCACCAAAATTCCTAGTCAAGCTGATGTGTCAAGGTTCTTTGAGTACCCTATGATGCTATAGTCATATGGATTTCATGTGCTGTAGATTATACTAAAGTAAATGGAAGAACAGGTCTTATCCTTAAGATTTTTGGGCTCTTTATGGTATTTGCTATCTCTAGGTGATAAATCCTTCCACCCCCCCCCCACGTGTTGCTTAATTTAACACATTTGCAGTAAATAGCACTGAAAATACAAAGTTACAGTAGCAAGTAACAAGTAGGTAGGCAATACACTTCCCAAGCAGGTAATGCATCTCGTTGGTTTAGTTATGATGCTTTCAGAGAAAAAGTCTGTGTGTCAAGGCTGACAATTTAGGCATTAGGTGTTTTCTTCTATAAAAAATGGGAATTAAGAGGAAGCCCTGGCTAATTGCATTTAGTGTGAAAATTGAGAGTAAAAACAATGGCAAGTTTGCTGTGTCTCCCCTTCCCACCCCCTGCAATTCCTAGCAGTCCTTAGAATTCGAAGTATCATAGCACAAACATTCAGTGCAGTGGAACCCACAGGTTTAGAATATTTCTTCTCTTATTACTTTTATTTTCTAGAACAGCTAATCTTGTGAACCACCAAAATTATCCACTGACATCATACTTTTTTCAGAGCTAAGGTGAATTAATCCACTTTGGGGAATCACCATAATCAGTAATAAAAATATGTAGAAGCCTTTTTGATCCTTTTTACAGGGAAGCTCCATGAGACATGGTGCATTGCTGAGACTAAAGACAGGATGAAACACCTTTTAATTTTGGTGAGAGCAACTCATTTTTGATTAAGACACGAAACATCACAGTGTACTCCAGTCATCTCGTACTTGTTTATTTGGGAAATCTTACTAGTAGAAAGAATGCAAACCCTGTGAGTTTCTCTGAGAATTTGTCTTTCGGTGGCAGAAGAAAGGATACTTTTGTGCTTTATTAAGCATCAATTTCGTAAATGTAAGTGATACCACTTCTTTCAAAGATATCTAATTTGTCTTGTTGCAAGCAGAGATTCCTGTGTGCTCCCAAAGAAGTTTTGATTACCATCTGTAGTTTAAAAAACCAAAAAAGCTGAATATGAAATCTTGAAGTTTTGCACTTTACACTTTGATTTTAGAAAAAGAGATCAGTTTAGAAACCCATTGTAGAAATCTTAGGCAGAATTAACTTAGGGATGACATTTGACTTCTACCTAACTTATCTTGGATATCAGTTCCCAAAGTTTTAATACCAGCATTAAAGTCCCCAACACTGCTTTAGTGCTCTCCTCATTAACTGCATATGATAAAAACCTCTAGCTTGTTAATTGGAAAGCATCAACAGGCATCAACAGTTTTGTCTCTCTTTATCTTTTTGAGACCTGTTTAGCATATTTTCTTTGCTACAGTGCCAAAATACTGACATATCACATGGAAAATTCCTGAAACTTTTAAAATTAATGTACTTTTTTGTTGTAAATAAAATTCCAGAAGTATGAATTCTAGTAGGTCTAATCATTGCAGAATTTGGGTGTAGATGGAACTGAGTATTTTGATAAAATATGAAGATCTCCTGGTTCTCTGACCACCTTAATGTTCAGTATACTGTACAGGATGCTTGGTTTATTGAAGGATCACCATTCCCCATCTTTCCAGTCTGTAGGTTAGTTAGTCAATTCATTTTGAAGAGCTTGGAGGAAAAGCTGTGGAGCAGAGATGTCCAGTTTCCCTTTTCAGGAAGGTAATTAGAATTTTTTCACCGTTGCATTCCATTGTTTGCTATTTGAAGATGTGTTCCAAAAGGTGAACAGACCCCAGTGGTAGGATGGTAAGTGTAAGTTGCATGAGAGTGAAGCTGTTGTTCTTTAGTTGAAACAAGCAGATCTCCTAGAGTGTTTAGTATGAGCAAAACATGAAGCCTTGATTTAAATGAGGAAACTTCAGTAAAGATTTGACATGCCAAATGCAGAAATAGCCTATACCAAATTAACTTCTGGAATTACATATTTTCTGTAAGGACTGTAAAGCAGGCAGGCTTTAGGGGTACAGCATCTAATTGCTGTCC